TTGGGAGTCTCTTGGAAGCTTCTTTCTTGGGGCCTATGTGGGGAATAGCGCCAGTGGATGCCCCTCTAATTGAAAAGGCGGGGGTGCTCGCACAACCCCACCCCCACTTCGAGGGGGGGGGGGGGAGTTTTCGCCCCCCCCCCCCCCCCCGCCCCCCTTCCTTTTAAAGGAGGAGGGGTTCGGGCCCCCCCTCCTCCCCCACCACCCTTTGCGCCGAAAGGGGGGGGGATTTCGACCCCGCCCCTCCCCCATTTTGCGCCAGAGAAGGTTCCGCGGGGGTGGCCTCCGTGTGTAGACTTAGGAAATGATGCTTTGCGTGTTAGGATTCAGGGCGTAGCGCTTAAGGCTTGTCTCAGAGTTTAGGGCTTAGGGCATACACAGCCGGGAGACAAGTTATAACAATATCATCCTCGTTTTCCTCCTTCGTTTTCCTCCTTCTTCGCATCTTCATGTTCTTTTCCCTCGCGTTCCCCCCCCCCCTACCCTCCCAGGGGAGCCACGACAGAGCACGGCAGCCGTCCGGGTCCCATTGCATGTATCAGGGGGCTTGCGTATCCCATTCCATCTGGCCGAACGGCAGAGGTTGCCGACGCTATAGGGCAATTGCCGCCAGAACGATTGGGGCACACCCAAACAGGTTCGACAGTCATGGGTCAATCTGCCTAAGTATTGGGTTTCCTCGCGATTCCTTCTCGTCTATTAGCGTGCCGCCCTGTGGGTCCTGTGGGGCGTGTGAGACTTGTGCCCCTCTGGGACTTGTGGGACCTGCGAGACATGCGGGGCCCAGGCGACTTGCGGGAGCGGTGGGTCTTGCGGGACCTGTGTAACCTGTGCGACCTGCGAGACGTGTGGGAAGTGTGGGGCCTGTAGGACCTGTGGGGCTTGTGCGAAACGTCAGCCTCCTTGTTAGGACCTGCGAGACCTGCGGGGCCTGTAGGGCTTGTGGGAGCCGTGGGGCCTGTGGGTCCTGTGGGGCCTGTGAGGCTCGTGGGGGCTGCGAGAACTGTGGGACATGCGGGACCGGTGGGGCGTTGTCCAACAAACCGTGTTGACGATCCGGCGGGGGGCGGGTTCGAGTATGTAAACTCACACGCGGGATGCAGTTGAGGTTGCCCGGCAATCCCATTTAACGATCGGGCGGGTGCGGGTTTAGTGTGTAAGTTCATACACAGGGCGCGCGTCGCGTAAAGTGGCGTGCCCCAGCGTGTCCACTTTACGATTTGGTTGGTCCGCGTTTGGAACGTGAAAAATGGGACGGGAAGCATCCATCGTAAAGTGTTTTCTGTTAACAAATTCAACAAACTAATTTTTTTGATTCAAGCACGAGGAACCACGTCATGAAAGAGTCGTGACGCCAGAGGTTTTTCAATTGTTTGAATCCACAAACCAGGTTTTGAATTCACGAAACAGGGGGGGGCTAAGCACAAACGGAACGTCACCAGATCCAGAGGCACACACCCACAGGAGCTTTCAAAGTCGCCCAAACATGCGTGCGGCAAAATATGGCGGATAGCCTGTGGCGGCCTGGAGGTAGGAGGTGGCACGCAGCAGGATGTAAGCAAGTAGTGCGTGGCGCGTAGTGGCCGCTCGCACTCTGGACGTGCAGGGTATGCATCAGTTCTTGTAGTTGTGGCAAGGGTGGCGCTCGCCGTTGTAGCACTCACCGTCGGGGAAAGTGCTTGATTCGTTCAAATATTCGTGGCAGTAATACCCGTCGCAGTGATTGCGGAAGAAACTGCCATGGAAACTGTGCGTGATTCCACCGGAAAGAAATTCAATTATGGTGTAGTTTTTTTTGTCAGGGCATCCCTTTTTGCGCACAGATCCATCAGAATATCCATGCCCATACGAATATCCATATCTACGCGTCTGTTGTGCACAGATCAACTATGTATCTACATACGCGCCCATCAGTTGAACTACAGCTGCTTCCCGATATTGCATCATCTTCTGTCTCTTTCGCATCGCAGCGGGGAAAGAGGACGACAACAAACAAGCAAGCGAGAAAGCGAAAGAGGGAGAGAGAGAGAGATACAGAGAGAGAGAGAGACGAGAGACAACGAGGCAGAGGCAGAGGCAGAGAAAAAAAACAGCTAGAATACGGCTCGAGAGGACGAGGGTGGAGAAAAAGAGAGAGAGAGAGAGAGACAAGGAACGAGAGAGAGAGAGAGGGGGGGGGGAAGACGAAGAGGGGGGAACTAGTTCGGCCTAGAGGGTGGGGGCGGGGGTAAAAAGGGGGAGAGCGAGAGAGAGAAAGAGAGAGAGAGAGAGAGAGCGCATGTGCATATATATATATATATATGTACACACATATACAGATATATCGAAATACGAATGTCAGATACATTAAGAGTATACGTAGCGGAATATGCAGGTTCCCCTGGGTTGGGAAAGGGCGATACAGCAAACATATGGATAAACATAAGGTGAATGCCGATGGTGTTGCGACGGCACGTACACACAGTTAGAGAGAGGGGGAGAAATAGAGATACATGTTTGACAGACGTCGGCAACACTGCATATGCAAAGGGGGCGATCTATATACATATACATCGTTCTATATGGAGAGACAGATGGAGAGCGAAAGCGATAGACGTGTACATAAGATGTATATCTATACGCAGTGAGGGAGAGAGAGAGAGAGAGAGACGCATATACATAATGCACTTATGTACACATGTTGATACAGAGGGAGCGAGACATCAAGACAGGGCGATAGAGATAGCGATGGGGACAGAGAGAGGGATACATTGTTGTTTGTGGTGTTGTTAGATGGTTGTTGTTTAGAGTTGTTGGTTCGATATGGTTGTTTGGGGGCTGTTGTTTATGGAGGGAAGCCTTTTTTAGAGATTGTTGTTTAGAGTTGTTGGCGCACTTAGCGACCTTCTGCACACCCCTGCCATCATGATTGGGTCTTGGACCAGATGCCGCGTAGCTTCTAGCGTCCTCTTGGCGTCTCTTTGGCCGCCCCTTGGGTGATTGAGGAATCCTTGGGGCTGTGGAGCTTCTTGAAACCTCCTTGGGGTATCTTCAGGCACTCAGAGATGCCTCGTTGGCGTCTAGTGAGCGCCTCGGGGGCCAGCCATGCATGTCGGTTACTTGTTGAGTTGGTGGAGTGGGTTAGTGAGCAGGTTGAGGCTGATCAGGTGGATGCGGAGCAGCAGCACGAGACCAGATTGTGTGAACAGCGTCTTGCCGAATAATTCATTCTGCGTGCGTCACAAGATCCGTTATTTATTGCGTGTGGTCTGATTAAGAGAAGGGATGTGCCCGGGTGGGGCAAGGGTGAGCCAAGGACCGGTGGTTTGGTAACTTGCAGTGATTTGGAAGGGAGTCTCAGTTAGCATCAAGGCTCAAGCGTCCACGAAGTGGGCACACGACCGTTTACTCGTCAGGCCCCGGTTGTGATGGCAACCCCTGTTGGGTGCTTAGACACAGACCGATGCGCATTCGGCATTGAGGCGCTTGTATCTGCCGTCCCCCCCCCATCGGACCAAGCTGGAAGCGAATTGCAAATGTCGCCCATCCTAGAAGCCATGTCTCCCCATCACGGTGTGTTTTTCGCGACTGTCGAGGGCAGCGTGCGCAAGCTGAGCCATGCGGAGCTCGAGGACATGCTAGGATGCACATACATTCACCACCTGATCTTCGAGGAGGAGAAGATTCTGAAGCAGCGAGACCTTTGGTCCTTTCCCCCGCCAGTCTCCCCGAGCACACCCTTCGGCAATGTGCCAACCAGTAAGAAACTCGGGTGCGATGAGCTGTTGAGCAATGCTGAAATGCGAACAGATCTCGTGCTCGTTCGACATGTTGGCATAGTTGAGGGTGTTGACATCGGTCTCGGCCTGTTCGCGTCGCTGCCCATCCCCGCGAATACATTCTTGGGTGAGTACACAGGTGTTGTGAGAAAGGTGTTGCCGGTCGGCGACGACATCAGCTACTCGTACGCCCTACCCATGATCGATCCAGAGCTTGTGATTGATGCAAAGAAGTTTGGAAATCTTTGCCGACTTATCAACCATAGCGATACAGAGTGGAATTCTGAGCTCATCAGCGTGGAACACGAGGGTCTAGTTCATGTGGTTTGCCGCACCGTGCGCGACATCAAGCCCGGCGAGCAGATACTGATTCACTATGGCTCAAAGTATTGGGAAGCTAACAGTCGCAATTGCGTGCGATTGTCACCATTGTGAGAAGTATAGCGTCCATCGTGTGTGAGGCATGCGTTCAGGCCTGTCAGCGCCTAGCAGTTATTCGACATGTTGCCCCCTAAACCGTCGGCTTTTAAGCTGGTCTAGCGACGGGAAAAAATCTTGCTTCACGTGACAACATTCGCATCACTGTCGCCCTGCATCGTCTTCTCACTGCTGTAGCTGGACCCAGAACTGCTTGACCCTCGCACGCATCATCTGGCCACCCTTACGCCAGACGTGGGGTCTACCATCTTTCCCCACGGAGCAGGGCACGCACGAAATCTGGGCCGTAGGACACTCGAGGCAACGTTCTCACCCGAAGCAGGCAGCAGAGAGGGGTGCTCCCGTGCCTTCAAGGCCTTCTGGTCCCCAGGGTTCTCCCAGAAGCCTTTCCGGGGGGGGGGGGTCTTGGGGTCGTTCCTCGCAGGTCGCAGTCGCAGTCGCGAGTGGTTCCACGCAGAGCGCACTCACATTCGATGTGGGGCCAATTTGGGGCCCCAAGAGGCCGGCGAAAAGCTTTCAAAGACCACTAAGCAGCTTCTGACTGGTCGAGTCGTTCATCTGGTAGGTCTGGTCTGGCCTTCCTGGTTTGTTGATTGGACTTCGTTGGTGGTCGATTGGTTACTGCACCTGGTCTGCATAACTCGTCCAGTGATTTGGCCTGTCCAACTCGTTTCTCTGGCTTTCCTTGGCCTGCCCGCGCAGGACTTGGACGAGGACGAGGAGCGGCGGCGAGCGATGGGGGGAATCGAGAAGGAGCAGGCCTTCTCAGAAGGTGGCGGGACTTCTGAGAAGCCCTCGCGCCTTTGAGAAGTGTTCTGCGTCTTCGGGGGAGGCTGTTGCACACTTCTCAGAGGGCCGGAGGACGTCCGAGCCCTCCGCGAAGGCCTTCCTCCTTCTCGCTTCCCCCCCCTCGCTCGCCGTTAAGAGGAGCAGCCGCAGGAGCAGGAAGCAGGGGCAGCGTCAGCGCGCGGAGGGAGCGGATCGTCCGAGGAGGAGCGGCCGAGGAGCCTTCCCCTCGCGCCGAGCCTCCCCGCGCCGATGCGGGGGGGGCTCTCGGCGCGGGGAGGAGGATTGGCGCGGGCAGCATCGGCACGGGGAGGCTCGGCGCGGAGCAGCATCAGCGCGGGGAGGAGAGTCTGCTGCAGCAGCCACACTGCAGCTCTCTTGGGCCCCGCGGCAAGAGTGCGGCGCTGGGGGCCCAAGAGCTCTCCGCTCCTGGCGGTCCAGAAGCAGCAGGAACGACGGCCAGGAGGAGAAGGCGGCGCAGGAGGAGGAGCAGGAGCGACAGAATGAGGAAGGAGAAGGGAGAGGGGAGGGACGAGGCGGAAGACGGGAGGAGCAGCAGCAGCAGCAGACAGCAGGGAGGAGGACCAGGGATCAGTTAGAGGCGGAGGGAGAAGGAATAATGATGAGCAAAGGGAAGGAGGGAAGAGTGAAGGGTGGACGATCCACGGAGCCGAGGCTACGTCATATTACGGGGCCACAGCCCGTTTCGGCCGACGAGGGTCGGCCATGCCCAAGAAATTCAATGCCATGTTTGTTCAATGTGGGGTCCCTGGAAGCACCGACCCTTTCCCCCTGTAAGGCTGGATCTGTCTTCCCGAGTCGGTTTTTGACGGTCCCGGGGCCCAGCGAGGGCCCCAGGAGGTCGAATGCCGCCAATCAAACACATGTTTTCTCACCACGCGACCTCGACGATGAACGACGACGGCGACCACGACGGCGACGACGACCGACCAATCGCTGCTGCAGATGCCCCCTGCAGGAGGAGGAGGACGAGGAGGAGGAGGAGGAGGAGGAGGAGGAGGAGGAGGAGGGAGGACGGGAGGGAGGCAGGGAGGAGGAGGGAGGTAGGAGGGGAGCAGGGAGGAAGAGAGAGGAGGAGGGAGGGGGGAGGAGGGGGGAGGGAAGAAGGCAGGGGGGAGGAGGGAGGAGGGAGGTGGGAGGGAGAGGGGGAGAGAGGAGGGAGGAGGCAGGAGGGAGGGAAGGGGGGGGAAGGAGGAGGGAGGGAGGGAGGCAGGAAGGAGAAGGGAGAGAAAAGGCGAAGGAGGAGGAGGAGGACGGAATGATGGAGGGAGGGAGAGAGGAGGCGGCGGAGGAGGACAGCGATGGCCCGAAGGACCGCGCCGACAGCAGAGAATCCGCGCGCGGGCAGGCGGGCGCCGCACGGTGCCCGGCGGGCCACCCCTTGGCTCTGCCGCGCGGCGGCTGGGCTCGCCGGCGCGGCGGGGGCCGGCGGGTCCGAGGAGGCCTGCGAGGGCAGGGGAGGGGGGGGGGGGAAGGAGGGGGAAGAGGAGGAGGATGGGGAGGAGGGTGAGGTGGAGGAGGAGCAGGACGGTGATGATGATGATGATGATGATGATGATGATGATGATGATGATGATGATGATGATGATGATGATGCTGATGCTGATGATGATGATGATGATGCTGATGCTGATGCTGATGCTGATGATGATGATGATGATGCTGATGCTCATGATGATAATGATACGAATGATGATGGCGATGATGGTGGTGATGCTGATGATGATGATGATGATGATGATGGTGATGGTAATGGTGGTGATGATGATGCTGACGATGATGATGATGATGCTGATGATGCAGATGATGATAAACACGATGGCGATGGCGGTGATGAGGATGATGATGATGCTGATGATGATGATGATGATGATGATGATGATGATGATGATGATGATGGTGATGGTGATGCGGATGAGCATGATAATAAGAGCGATGATGAGCGTGATGACGGTGATGGTAATGATGACGAGGAGGGGAAAGAACGCATTACGCGGTGCCTCCCTACTCGTCACGCTTGCCTTCCTCCTGCCCCTCCTCATACCCCTACCATGACCTCCCTCCTCCTCCTCTCCCTCCTTTTCTCACTCCTCCTTTCACTCCTCCTCTGCCTCCTCCTCCTTCTCGTCCTCCTCCTCGTCCTCCTCCCCTTCCTCCTTCTCATCCTGCTACTGCTGCTCCTCCTCCTCCTCCTTCTCCTCCTCCCTGCTTCCTTGTTATCATGTTGATCACGGTGCACTGCCTAAAGGAGGGCAACGTCTGAAGACGTCACCTCCCTACCGTTGTTTGGGCTTTTGAGCAGGTTGGGGGCTTCTGGGTGGGTTCACAAAGCTCTATTGGGCCCTCGAAGGCGAGGCCCCTTCTGCAGCACGCCAGCTGGAGGCCTTGCGTCCGAGCCCGGGAGGCGTCGGACGCACCTCGACGTGGGGCGCCTGGTGGCCGTCGAGGGCGCCCCGAGCTCGTCGTCGTCGTCCTCGTCCTCGTCCTCGTCCTCGTTGACGTCTTCGCGGTGCGAGTCCGGGGGGCGTCGGACGCACTTTGGCGCGGGGCGCCTGGCTGCCGTCGAGGGCACCCCAGAAGCATCGTCATCGGGCCGCTGCTGCAGCGTCTTGGCCATGCTTCGACGCGGGCTGTTCGCTCCACGTGGCCCACTCGAAGCGGGCCTTCCCGGGAGTCCCGCGGGCCAGGGCAGCCGAGACCGCTGTTGAACGCTTCTTCTCCCGTTCCTTCCTTCCTCCTCATTTCGCTTGCCTTCCTTTTCGCTTGTCTACTTCCTGTTTCCTCCCTTCTTCTCCTCTTCCTCCTCCTCCTCCTCCATGTCCTTCTCCGCAACCTGCTGTGCGTCGGCAAGATGAGGAGGATCGTGGTGGAGGCCCGCATCGAGGACCTTTAAGCTCCCCAACTCTTGCCGTCCCTCCTGGGGTCAGACGTCAATTGAACGCTGTGCCTCCTCGCCCTCCTTTCTACAAGAGTATTGGGATCTCCCCCCCGAAGTTAACGGTCCCTCTTCGCGTATAGCAATTTAGAATCGGGCCTTCTGGATCGTCCAACGGAGATATGAATTCGTACCATATCAGGCAAGCTGGTATCGCCCCCTTCTCATCCCTTGCAGCAAGAACTACTCGCGCACATTCGTTTATTACAAACCATCAGTGTACCCGTGCGCGTCGTCGCGCGTGCATCCCGGAATCCCCCATCACCCTCTAGGTTTCGCAAGGATTTCAAAATCGAGCGACCCGCCAACAGACAAGACACACATGATTTTGCGCGACAAATTGGCAGCACAAACGAACATGCGCTCGTGCTCTTGCACATCCTCAAGAACACCATAGGTCTTCAGCAGCGTCATCAACTGCTACCAAAGGTCCCTCTCGTGCTGGCGTGTCGGGGTCGCTCGAACGCCCCTGCGCGCGTGCTGTCGACAGTACCCATTGCAGCACAGTGGGGCGAAATCGTCGCGCGTGCATGCTGGAAACCTTTTCAACAAACATGGAGTCAGTAAAGAATTCAACATTGAGTGGCCGACAAACTATAATCGCACATGGTTTTGCACCGTCTGCTTTTTCCACAAAAAATGCTTGCGCTCGCTCTCTTGCGAATTTTTGGAAGAAAACCATAGGTTGTTCAACGTGTTCGTGGAACTGTGCCAAAGAGGTCTCCCGCGCCGCCTGTTGGAATCATTCGAACGCCCTTGCGCGCGTGCTGTGGTGGAGGCGCGATGCCTGTCAAAGAGTACCATGCGGGCCACTCGTTCGCATCTGCCGCGCGCACATCTCGAACTCCTTTCCAGAACGTGAATTACCGACGCGAGGGCGCCGTCATCGTCGTTGGCGTGATCAGCATCGGCACCGCCACTGGCCTTGCTCGCCTCTGGCCTTGCTGTCGTCGCTGTCACCATCGTCACCAGCATCGCTACTACATGCATCGCGTCTACACTTGCCGACGTTACCATGATACCGCGCCCACCCAAATCACCGACTCGCACTGAAATGCCCGCTGGGAAGTACCCTGCGGTCAGCGCCGCCGCGGCCGCGCCGGTCGCGCCAAACTAGCTAGCCGCTTCGCGCTCGAGCATGCGCGGGCCAGCGCGGCCGCAGAGATGCACCAGCCAACGCCAAGCACTCATCGCAATCGCCGCTGCATGGGTTTTGCCAATTTAGTCGCGGGTGGGCGGGTGGGATGACTCCGCGAGCAGTGCATGTGACAACGTCAAGTTCGGCTGGGTTGTTTCTTGGAAAAGAAATGGCATCTACCTCCCCCCCGGGACTACACCGATTCTGCGGCATCGTCCATCCGAATATGAACTCATACCATCCCAGCCAGGCTGGTATCGCCCCCCCGGCCATCTTCTGCAACACACATTATGCAAGCGCTCTCTCGTAGCATAGATCATCAGGTTTCAAGATCCCCTTTGCAAAATAGAAGCAAGTTGCGCGCGCACGTCGTCGCGCGCGCATGCCGAAATCCTTGACAAATATTCGTCTTCGTGGGGGTTTCCAAACTGGAGGGTCACGAAAACATGTGTTTTTTGTTTGAACAATGGTTTTGCAACAAGAATGCTCAAAACTTGTGCGCCCACAATTTTTGTGAATTACGAAGGGGACTGCAGGTTTGATTCATCGTTTCATAGCGCGTTTCCAAGTTCACCTTTCAGGCGCGCGCGTCGAAATCGTTCGAACGCTCTCGCGCGCGCGCCGCCGCAAGATCCCTTGCAGAAAATGTGACGAGGTGCGCGCGCGTTGTCGCGCGTTCCGAACACTTTGAACAGACGCTTGGTTTCGCAAGGCCTTCAATATCGAGGTCCCGAAAACGTGAAACACACGCACGCACACACACACACACACACACACTGTTGTGCAACAGCAGTTTAAACAAGATATCTTTCACTCGCGTTCTCCAACTCTGTCACTGAATGCTGCCAGGCGGGTGTCTCGCGCCGCATGTCGAGCTCATTCGAACGCGTTCTGCGCGCGTGCTGGGGCCCGCGTGGAATAATACCACGTGGGCCTCTCGCGCGCGTCGGCCGCGCGCGCATGTCGACGTCCTTCTAAAACCTTCCTCGCCGACGCCACAGCATCGTCACCGTTACAGCCGGGCGTGATGAACAACGGCGTCACCAACGACTTTACCATCATCATCGCCACCATCGTCACGGTCACCACTACTTTCATAGTCGCGTTTATCGTTGCCCGCGTCGCCACGACACCGCGTTCGCCCATGTCACCGACTCGCACTGAAGTGTCCGCTGGGAAGTGCCCAGCGGTCAGCGCCACCGCGGCCGCGCCGGTCGCGCCAAACATGCTGGCCGATGCGCGCGCGAGCCGGGCTAGCGCGGCAGCAGAGATGCACCAGCCAACGCCGAGCATTCATCGCAGTCGCCGCCGCATGATTTTGCAAGCCAAGTTGCGGGTGTTTGGATGGGATGTTTGCAAAAACGTTGAATTTGAGGAACTCGTTAGTGATAATTATTTGCACCCCGTAGATTGCACCCCACTGAGTGTGCCACATCGATCGCTCAGCGTAGATTGCATCACACCGATTGCACCACACGGATTTTCCTTTCTAAGAAGTATTCGGGTCGACCCCCCCCAGAGGTTAACGGCACACTTGTTTCGCATTGCAATTTTAATTACGGGTGTTGCCCCATCGTCCATCCATCTTAGAGATGAATTCGCACCACCCTGGGCAGGCCGGCATCGCCCCCCTCTCTTCGTCCTTTGCCAAAGCTGCTATGCGCCCTCAGTCGTTTATCAACAAAAAAACGTCAGTTGTCAAAGGCCGTTGCAAACATGTGACGAAGTGCGCACGCGCGCTTCGTCGCGCGAGCATGGCGTTTTTTCTAAAACCCTTTCGGTTGCGTAAGGATTGCAAAAATTGAACGCGCCAGGAACATGTAAAAACCACACGGTTTCGCAACGAGGGTTTTCAAAAGAAGCCTCTTCCCGCGGTCTTGCGACTTTTGTTAGAGAACCAGCGGTTTGCCAACAAGTTCGCGAAATGCTACTAAGCAGGCCCCTGGGGCGCGCATGTCGAAATCGCCCGAACGCCCTTGCGCGCGTGCTGTCGCAGGAATCCCTTTCAACAAAAACGGGACGACGCGCTCGCGTCGTCGCCCGCCCATTCAGAACGCTTTCAAACACTGCAGCTCACGAGTGTCCCGGAAACGTATAAAACACACACACGGTTTTGTAACATATGATTTCAAGAGAGACTGCGCTCGCACCCGGGCCGATTCTTGAGAGAACCATGGGTTCTTAACATGTTCATCACATTCTGACAAGCGGGCCCATCGCGCCGCATGTCGACTACATTCGAACGCCCTTACGCGCGTGCTGGGGGGGTTGGGGCACGATCCGAATTAAACAATACCACGCGAGCCACTCTCGCTCTGGTTTTCGGGTCGTTCCCTAGAGTTAGATTTGGGAGCACTTCGTGGCTCAGGTTTGCTGTGGCCAGAAAACCCCCTTCGTTCCTTACTCACCCCGTCATTGATGGCATGGCACGTTGACTGTAATCATCTGCGTCCGCCTCCGCTCCCAGACTTTCAGCGACGTCGTGATTTCTTCGGCTCGGGACCCCCGGAGGGGCGGGTCTACGTCCTGGGCCAGTGTTGACGGTCTTGGGGACCGAAGCGGTCAATTGGAGGACGACACGAAATGAATCAGATCACGACGTCTGGGGTCTGGGCTTCCTACTCCGCTCCTCTCCTCTTTCGGGCCCGCGCGCTCTGGAGGCGTTCACGAAGTTTGGCGCGGGGTATTGCAGGGCCGAGTCGGACACAGACATGAGCAACCAGCACCCCTGGAGCGCGGGGCGATTGAGGCTCATCCTTCCTCCTCGGTCCCCTTCCTGACTAATTACCTCTTCCTCCCCTCTCCTTCCCTCCTCCTGATTGGTAGTCGAAGGGCGGAGGATGGGGCCGCATAAAGTTTCCTGCTGCGAGGACCGCTCGTCCCAGGGCGCCTGAGAACTTCACATGACCACTGCCACGACTAGAGGATCGCCCTCCCAGCATGCAGGCAATTCGTTGAAAGTAGGCGTTCTCGCAGTCCCAGGTCGCAATGTTTTGAAATATTGTTCTACTTTGGCAAACGTGAAGGCGTTCGCTCGATTTGCGGGCAGAAGCGCGACCTCGAACGGCCTTCTTATTGTGAAGGCGATACGGCCAGTGCCGCCGACTCAGAATGACCACCACGACGACAACGATAACGATGATCGGATGACCCTGCCATAGGCTCGGGACATGGGACGGGTGATGGAGTGATGGTGAGGAGGAGGAGGAGGAGAAGGAGGAGGTGGAGGAGGCGGAGGAGGAGGCGGATGAGGAGAGGGAGGGAGGGGAAGGGGAGGGGGAGGAGGAGGAGAGGAGAGGAGGAGGAGGAGGAGGAGGAGAGGAGGAGGAGGAGGAGGAGGAGGAGGAGAGGAGGAGGAGATGGAGAGGAGGAGGAGGAGGAGGGAGGAGGAGGTGGAGGAGGAGGAGGAGGAGGGGGAGGAGGATGAGGAGGAGGAGGAGGGGGAGGGGGAGGAGGAGGATGCCTTCTTATTTCAGATTCCCACAAACCTCTTCCGAACCAGCATGTCACTCCATGTGCACGGGCACCTCACGGTGGCCGCGCCGACGTGTCCCTCAGCTTTCCCTCCGCCCCTCCTGCACAGCTTCCGTCTGGTGAATACTTGCCCTGTGTGCCCAGCAATCCCCTCGGCCATCATGGGTTCTCGCCCCACCCCATCCCCCACTGGCGCGATGGATCTCGTAGGCAGGCGCTGTGGTGCCCGCGGCCCTGCTCAGGTGCTCGCGCGAGCGTCGTGGCGGCTGCCCACGCGAGCTGCGGTGCTCATGAACGCGCTGGTGCCCTCGGGCTCTGTGGCGCCCTCGCCCCCGGGGGTGTTGTCAACATCGGCGCGAGGGCTGTCGCGAGTTACGACGTGGTGCTCAAAAACACGGGGGGGCGCTCCAGAAGCAGCGTCGCCTTCGAGTGCCAAACGAGCTGACATCTCCTGCCCGGCGGAAGAGCAGCAGCAGTGGAATACGAGGACCGCTCCGCTGGCGGAATAAGCCGGCGCAAGGCTTTGCGGAAGCTGGCGGCAGGAAAAGGTGCGCCTCCAAGAGGTGTTATCATTTTGTGGCCTCGGGGGTTCCAGAATCCTCCACGTGGCATGGTACTCCCAATGATCGTCGGACGGGGCTAGGACGAGGATATATCTGTTCCAGAGCGCTCCGGAACGCTCTCAGAGTGTTCGTCCTGGCTTCGTCTCAGAACGCGGCAGCGTGTCCTGTCCGAGTAGGTTTGCGCCCTCATCCTTGTCGTGTCACTGCTCGGGCTGAAGTGAGGCCACCAGCCAAACTGTCGCACACAAGGTAGCCCCGACGGTGGGGGTCACAGGGAGCCAGGCATGCCACAGCTGGCGACCTTCCACAAAGGTGTTTTTCTGTTGCTGTCTAAGGGAACTGCTAGTTCTTCCGAGTTGACAGGGAGGAAGGAGGAGGAGTAGGAGGAGGAGGAGGAGGAGGATGAGGATGGGGAGGAGGAGGAGGAGGAGGAGGTGGAGGAGGAGGAGGAGGAGGAGGAGGAGGAGGGCCGCCTCGAGCGCTGGCCGGGTCGTCCGGGTTTTCGGCCCGCCGCCCGTGTGCGGCTCGTGGCCGCCCTGTGCGCTGGCGGGGCGCCCGCAGGATCTCGCGGCTCGCCGCCGCTCGTGGGGCCGCCGCGTGGCCGCCGCGTGCGCTTGCGGCACCTGCTCGCCAGCGATGGCCCCTCGCAGATGGCACCAAGCATCAAGGGCTTACAAAAATACGCCCCTACCCTGGTTTACGAGGCGCTGTGCGCTGAAACTCCTGAAGGCTGACAGGGTAAACCCTGCGTGATGTGCGGCATCCTAGCGTCCTGTAGGCTTTGGGGGTTCCCAGGACGTTTACAGACCACGCGCTTGTAACCCCAGGGCAGGGTCGTTTTTTCATCCCTCAAAAGGAGGCTTTCCCTTTCAAAAGAGAAGAATACCCAAGAAGAAACAACGCCATGAACACAACCTTTTGGCGGTCCGCGCTGATGCGTTGGATCTGCGCTGGGATCTCCCGGCGGCGCCTCCGGCGCCACCACGGATCCAAGAAATCCGCGCGGATCTCCACAAGTTTATGCTTGTGCCGCTTTTTGTTCTTCTGTCAAATAAAGACTAGACTCCATCACCCTCCCACGCTCAGGGTGGACAGCTCAACTCGATGCACTTACATATGATTCCGTTCCACCCCCATGTGCAATCACATATCCCAGACAGGCCCGTCTTGACACCCCATTTCATCCCTGTCACATACGACCATGCGCGCATAATCTCTTTCACGCAAATCAGCAAGGCATACACGCGCGCACAGGTCTAAGTCATACCGAACAGATCCTCTTCGAGTGCAGTTCCGGCTCCACCCATAAAGTTTCAATTCATTGCACATCAAACATATTTCAATTTGTGTGCCCCCGCGGACTTGCTGGAGTCATGAGAAATCCATGTGTTTGTCGCCATCTCGTCGAGAACCCGCAGTCTCATCTCACGACGCGGTACACCCGCGTTGACTTAGCAAGCGCACAGCGGACCACTCCGTATCAAATACTACTCTCGGACCACTTGCGCGCGCAGCAACGCGCGCGTATCTATAAGCTGCCAAACCCATTGGAGTTGAGCTCGAGGTACGTCAAGGCAGAGAATTGCAAGCACATCTGATAAAAACGCGCAGCTATTCAACATCAGCTTTCTTGCGCGAGCGCACTTCCTCATCACCCTCATCAGCGTTATCGCTGTACTGTCGTAATCATCATCGAAAAATTACCGTCAGTGCCGCCAGTCTCGGGGAAATCACCTTCCACCATCATCATCGCCATCATCATCATCATCATCATCATCATCATCATCATCATCATCAGCGTCATCATCATCATAATCATCATCACCATAATCCTCATCACCAGCATCATCATCATCGCCATCGTCATTAGTATCGCCTTCGTCGCCACCAGCGTTGATAGCGTCATTGGCCTTGCCGTCGTATCATCTTAATCATCATCCTTGTCATCGTTGCCACGCTTGCCGACGACATGATATCGCGCCCGGCTGGGTCACCGACCCGAGCTGAAGTGCCCGCGCGCTTGGGCGGCCCTTGAGATGCGTTGCGGAGTTCCCACCGGTAGGCGCCACCGCGGTCGCATCAGTTGTGCAAAACCAGCTAGTCGTTTTGAGCGCGAACGTGCGCTCGACAGCGCGGCCACGCAAGGATGCGCCATCAAGTGCCAACTTGCAAACGAACCGCGGCCGAGTGGGTTTTGCCGGACCAGTTAAGGGTGGGAAGGTGGGATGTTTGCACGAGCAGTGGAGTTGGACGACTTCAAGCGTTTCATGCTTATTATTGTTGTAGAGGAAATCAATCCCACCTTCCCCTGGGATTGTCACCCCACCCTGTTCGTATTCCAATTTTCTAATGTTTCTGCCCCATCGTACATTCAACACTTTGAATTTCAATACATATGTTCCAGGTGAATCGGTATCGACACCCCCCGTAACTTACTGCAACTAATACTATGCGCCGGCATTCCTCTATCCGAAATCATTAACGCTGATCAATATTCATATGCATCGTCGCGCGCATGCCGAAATCGTTCAACAAATCAGGTGTCGTGAGGATTTCAGAAACGAGTGTCCAAAGAAAATGTAAAAAAACTCATGGCTTCGCAGCAGCGGTGCGCAGAAAACCTGGCGCGCGCGCGCCCTTGCGACTTTTCAAGACAACTGCAGGTTTTCCAACATGTTCATAAGCTGCCACCAGCCGGGCTCCGCGCGCGTGCATTTCGGAATCGTTCGATCGCCCTTGCGCGCGTGCTGTCGCAAGAATCCTTTGCAACAAACGGGACGACGTGCACGCGCGCGTCGTCGCGCGCGTTTCCCGAAATCCGTCATACATTGTCGATCTCGTAGGGGGTTCAAAATCGAGTGTCCCAAAACAGTACAAGCCCAAAGGGTTTCGCAACATCTGTTGGCAACGAAGCCTGCGCTCGCGCCCTTGCGTCCCTTAAGGGAACGATTGGCTTCTCAACATTTTCATTGATTTCTGCTAAACGGGCATCCCGCGCCGCATGCCGAAATCATTCGGACGCCCTTGCTCGCGCGCTGGGGGGGGCACGATCCGTGTTAAATTGTACCATGCGGCCGCACTCGCGAGTCGGCCGCGCGCGCATGCCGAATTCCTTCCAACACCATCACCGACGCGGCGACGTCGTCATCGTCGTCGGAGTGACCAGCATCGGCGCCGTCACTGGCCGTGCCGTTGTCGTTGTCAGCATCGTCACCAGCATCGCTAGTATCATCATCGTGTCTACGGGTGTCGACGTTGCCATGATACCGCGCCTGCCCAAGTCGCCGATTCGCACTGAAGTGCCTGCTGAGATGTGCCCAGCGGTCAGCGCCACCGCGGCCGCGTCGGTCGCGCCAAACTAGTTGGCCCATGCGCGCGCGTGCACGCGCGGGCTGGCGCGGCCGCAGAGGTACACCAGCCAACACCAGCCAACACCAAGCACTCGTCGCAATCGCCGCCGCATGGGTTTTGGAAACCAAGTTGCGGGTGGGTGGGTGGGATGGTTGTGCGAGCAGTGGAGCTGACAACTGCGAGCTCCAAGGGTGAATTTTACAGCAAGGATGCACCACGTAGATGGCATCATATCACCACGTGGCCTGCGCTATGAGATTGCACCATACACGTATCGCACTGCACGCATTGGAAATCATGAGTGCCCAGGCACCATGATTAGGGCTCACGCTCATTCGAAGATCGCAGAGGTGATCCCAACGCGACAGCATTTAGGGGACGGAGCTGCGTTGCTTGGCATTGCTTGGCTTTGCTTGGTATTGCATTGCTTCACTTGGCATTGATTTGTTTTGCCTTGCGTTGGTGTGCATTGCTTGGCGTTCCTTGGCGCTGCTTGGCAGTGCTTGGCGCCGCTTAACAGCTTTTGGATGCGCTGTGCTGTTATGGCATCGCTTGTCATTGTATGGCATTGGTGCGCTTAGCATCGCATTGACTGGCATTGCTTTGAATTGCCTGGCATTGCTTGGCATTGGTTTGCATTGTTTGGCACGGTGTTGTTTCGATTATCGTTGTTCGGCATGTCCTCGCACTGTTTGGCGTTACTGGGACTCTTCTTACTCCTCAGCTTTGCTGCGCACTGCTTGGCATCGCTTGGTGTTGATTGGGACTTACATCAGCGTTGGCATTGCCTGGCGTTGCTTGGCATTGCTCGTCATTGCTTGGCATCGCCCGTCAGTTCTCGGCCTGGCCTGGCATTGCTTGGCACTGTTTGGCGTCGCCCAGCATTGCTTGGCATGTTTGTTGCGTTGTATGGCGTGGTTTGGTATGGCTTGGCGTTGCCAAGCACGCCACGCAACGCCTGTTGGAAAGTTGGAACTGCACAAGGCCAAGGACACTGGAGAAACCGAGAAAGGCCAGCCCGCCCACCAAAACCACAAGGAAGCAACACCGAAGGTGCCCTGTACCCTGGGAAAGCCGCGCGGCGCAGTCCACGCACCCACCGGCCGTTCACAAGCACGCGAGCGCCCCCATAGGGAGCCAAACTGTTGGGGAAGCGGTTTGCATAGTGATCGTTTTCTTGTCCGTTGTTGTGCCAATCGGCCCGGGCCTTCGAGCCCTGTCCCCTTGGCTGTTTTGGGAGCCTGTTTCAAGCAGGTGGGGCCTCCCCCGTAGGACGCATTCATGCAAACAGTCGCATTGAGCAGAGGTCCGGAGCCAGACCCCCCCCCCTTCCCCCCCCCGTTCCACCCAGTGTCGAAGCGCCGAAGACGAAAACCTTGAAAGAGTCAGCTTTTCTTCAGTGTTCCGATGCCCCGGACCAGCCTGCTTGGGACCAGATGCAAGTACAGTGCCGTTTTTAATACATGCCCCGCGTGCGGCTCAAGTAATACAAATGCAGGGATTTAGTTTCAAAAACAACGATGGGTTCAGGCATAAATTCATTCATGAATTTATCATGTATCAAAAATCCTATATGTTTAAAAATCCTGTGTATTAAAAACTGCCCTATACAGACGTAGCCTCGGCCACGGGAGCGAGGTGGGGCAGGGGGGCACCATCCTCGGACGCGTCGCGCAGCAGATGCCCCTCCCCTGCACGGGAGGGACGGCGCTGGGGCGGGCAGACGATCCCGCAGAACTTCCCAGAGTACAGTCGGGGCGCTGAAGAAGGAACCTTTCTCGTTGGGGAGGGGCTCGGTGTTCCTTAGTTGTTTTGCAATTCGCCTTTGGTTTTCCTTGGGGCTTCGATGGGAAATCAAAGTTTAACTCATGGAAAAAAGGGGCGTCGTTCCTTATTTAGGGTTCCTTAGGTCAATGCCCGACGGTATCACCCGGTGTCTCAGGAGCCCCAGCGGTATCCTGCGCGATACCCCTGGCCAGGGATCGAGGAGGGTTACAGTCGGGGCCCTGAAAAAGGAACCCTTTTCGTTGGGAAGGGGCTCCGCATTCCTTAAGTGTTTCACAGCTTGCCTCAGGGTTTTCCGTATGTGTTCGATAGGAAATCGAAGTTTCACTTATGGAAAAAAGGGGCTTCGTTCCTTATTTAGCGTTCCTTAGGTCAACGCCCCGACTGTATAGGAGGGGGCGGACCTTCGATCCCGTAGCAAGCGCGCAGGGTTCCCAGGAGAGGTTTGGGGAGGCCAGAGCTGGCAGCCTTCGCAAGAGGAAGTCGCACAGTTCACGCCGTTTCGTTTCGTTCCAGGCCTTTGGGGCCCGGGCGGGAAAGGCAGTTGTTCCAGCGCCTGCCCTACGATGTCGTGCGAATTCTCAAGCTTACTTCAAGATGGCACACGATGCCATGTTCCACGATATGCCACGCTATTTACATCGCCATCTCCGCCCCTTCTCATCGTAGTCGTGGAGGTTCTTTCATGATTACGCATTCACATGCTTCGTTTTACCCTCCTCGTCCCCCCACTTGCCATCGTCGTCGTCCCCCCCACCCCCGCCCCCTCACATCTTTCATCATGGTCTCTTCCCATTTCTCCTCGTCTTGCTCATGCACTTCGTTTCTTCCACTCCTTCCTGCCTTTCTGCTCTTGAGACGGTACTTCGAGTCCGTCCCTTGCCTACGAAGCCATGGGGTACAGCGGCGCGCACCTCGGTGCACGCAGTCCGGTGCGCGCGTGAAAATTCGCTGTGGGTGTGCACAAGGGTTTGTTGTGTCCGTGCGCGCGGGTGGCGCCCCTACGCTTTCGGCGGCGTGCGCAGACCCAGCGTCGTACACGGGGATGCGGCGGTGCTCTGCCGGCGTGCGCGAGCGAGCTCCTGTCACGGGCGCAGGCCGGCGAGCGAGTTCTTGTCACGCGCGCAGGTTGCTGCATGTAGACAGTCGACGCCTGTGATAAGGCATCTTGCCCCAAGTCAGTCGGGGGCACGCTTGTCGTCGAGCTTTGAGCCTCCCGAGGTGTCCCAGGGCAGCCAGTAGACACCCAGTACCGTCGGGGGATGAGCAGCTCCTTCTGGCGCGCCTGCGGGCAGGGGAGTCCGTTTGATTCGATGTGCGACCTGTTGTCGCAGCAACGTGTGATGCTTAGATGGGGCGCCACATGGTTTTGAACGACGAAAGGCAATGAAAAACGTGTGGTGCTCCACCTGAACCATACGTACGTTTCACGAACTGCTGCGGCCTGGTTGTCTGTGTGCCAGTGCAGCCGCCAGCGGCTGATTGCGCGCCGGCGCTGCCCTGCGCGGATGCCCCGTGGTGCATGCGCGCCCTGCGTCGATGATGAAGCCACCGTGCGCGCGGGGCGCACGGCTGACGCACGTCGAGCAGGCGTGTGGATGTCCTTTACCAGCCTCGAACGTATCCCTATCCCTAAGATTGACACGCCAAAAGGCGATGACAATCTTAGGGATTCGCCCTCAAAAAATAAGGGAATCCCTAAGGTTGGCATCGTGATGAGGAGGTACCCAGCATAGGGATAGGGACATGTTCCAGGCTGGTAAGTCCTCCATCTTTCTCCGTGGGTCGGTGAGGGCTGGGGTCGTACGGTCTCGTTGTGCGCCCGCTTGCTCGTGGCTCACCTTGCCAGGCGTTTTCTTCAACGCCCACCCGCGGGTTAGGGAGGGCGAGGAGGGAAGTGAGTGACGGGGAGGGGAATGGGGAAGGGGATTCGTTGTCCGCTCCTGGGAGCGTCAGCGTGGGGTACCTCAAAGTTAGCGTTCCTCGTTGTCCCCCTTGCGTTCGCACCCTTACGGATCCTCCGATTCGTTATTGCTCATACTCTCCCTCCTTCCCGTCTTTGTTTTGTGGTGTGTTTATTTTCTCGTTCCTCGATGTCGGGGCCAGGACGGCTAGAACGGAATGCATCGCCCTGGAAGAGTGCCAGCACAAGTGCTTAGACGGTGACAACGGTGTCCCTTGCGCAGGACGCGACAGAGGTCGGTAAGAGGAGGCAGGGGAGCGAGATGCGGCCGCGAACGAGGAGGACAAGGAGGCAAGAAGAGATGCTATAGATGCTGAGACAGGCAGATGTCTGCACGACGAGTGTAGTTCCTGGGGTGGGTGGGGAGCACGACGAGGAAAGCCTCTCAGGTTGGATTGGGTGATCGGACGAGCTATGGAGGGAGAGCGGACGAAAGGGAGAGATGCTTCGAGGAGGAAGCGCGATGGGGCAGAGGGTCTTCTGGGCCCCGCCTTCACACCGGCTCGCGATCCCGACCCCTTGCTCAATCGATAAGTCCCGTGGGAAGACTGGGCGGGATGTCTCAATCGGCACGGACTTCTGTCGACACCTCATACTGCCGCAAACACGCCTGCCCATGGGTTGCAGGGCCCCCTGTGAAGCAGGAGGGGAAAAGAAACCTGGAGAGGCATTCCTACACCTTTCTTTCTACATGTCCTCGGCTTCACTGAGGCCGATCTGTCATCGCGATGTTGGCGACATTGTTTGGCAAGCCACGTAAACGGTAATTGCAATGGTGGTAGCATGGCAACGGGGCCAATCGAGTATTGTAATGTGCGCGGTTCTGTGATACCGCCTTGGCACGCACAGGCGCAGGGTCTTCTTTGGCTCGTATCGCCCTGGAGGTCGCACCCGTGGTTCCACCAGCCGATATGGATCAAATCGCACACATGTGGATCTCTCTAGATCAAAGTTACGGAGATATTGCGTAGCTATGGGATTTCACAACGGCCTGGCGCGTGCTTGCCGATGGCATCAGACGTGCACATAACGAGTGCACGGCATGCATCATTGAGGCAAGCTCTGATTGAACATCCCAGTCCCATGACAAACCAGAACTCCTACCTGTATCTCTGAAGGGGCGCTGGGATCTTTGGACCAATGGCGGGGTTTCGCTATGGAAGACGGCCCCCTCGTCACGCAGAGCGCTCAAGACAAGGGGCACACCACACCCCGTCACGGCGGCGGCATTGGATAGGGAACGTCTTCCTGGCGCCCAGACCCTGCCGCATTCTCTACTGTTTCAAGGCGAGGTGGCTGGCCCGCGTGTGGCCGCCCATTGGTCGCGAGACCCTGGGCTCTTCATCGAAGGCATCCTTGCCTAAAACCTCCACCGTGGCCGTCTTCTCACTACATGGCCCATTGCATGGCTGAGCACTGGTGCCACCCAGCAGCGTTTGTAGCGAGGTCGCGGTCTCCAAGTCGAAACTTTGCCCAAATCAGCGCCAACAGTTCGTAGGCGTTGGCCCCAGGATCTTCGTCGCTCCTGCAGTACAGTCGGGGCCCTGAAGAAGGAACCCTTTTGGTTGGGGGGGGGCTCCGCGTCCCTTAAGTGTTTCACAGCTTGCCTCAGGTTTTCCTTATGTTTTCGATCTGAAATCGAAGTTTAACTTATGGAAAAAGGGGGGCCTCGTTCCTTATTTAGGGTTCCTTAGGTCAACGCCCCCACTGTAAGCCCGGCGCGCGGGGGGTGCAGGACTCGCGTGGGCCGAGGAGTCGGCCGAGGACAATTCCTGCAAGCAGGCTGGCAAGCCAAGGCGCCTGGCCGGCCGTCTCCGTTGGACCCTTTGCATGCGACCCTTTGTGGTTTTTCCTGCTTCTCAGACTTTTCAAAAAATGACTCATCATTTGTCCTGCTATGTTTGATGATGTGTCCTGCTTGTTTCCCTCATGTTCCTGAGCTGTTGCTCCTCTGGTTTCTCCTCCTCCTCCTCCTCATCATCATCCGCATTCTTCCCCTCATCCGTTCCCCGTTGTCCCACTGCTGCGCCCCCCCCATCATCCGGGCCCCTTTCTCGGCGCGTTCGCCTCACACGCCCACGTCTGCGCGGGGGACTTGCAAACCGCCTGCGCAGAACCGCACGGGCCCGAACGTTCAAGCTATCCAGTGTCTGGTGGAGGTCCGGGCATCGCCTCCTCTCCTCCCCCCTTGGCATCGCTCGGACGTGTGCATTCTTCCTTCGGCGAAAACTATCGAGGAGCATCCTTGATCATTTGGCGAAAAAGCCACGCACGGAACCGAAAAAAACGCAGGGAATGGACGTCCGAGCGATGGCGAGCCCCCTCTTCCCCGGCTGAAAAAAAGGTCGACCCCCACGCGGAAGTTCTCGCATCGCCGCCCTCTTTGGGCCGGCGGCTCTCATCCTTCGGGGGGCTCCCGCGGGCGGCCGCGGCATCCGCCCAGGTGCGGACAAGGGTTCGTTTGAGCATTTCGTGTGCGTGCGCGTGTGGCTTTGCTGCTCTGCTTCGCACTCTGCTTGCAGTGCGAGATGCTTGGGTGCACCAAGTTCGAGTACAGTGAGCGGCTTGAGTAAGGAACACTTCCTTTTCAAAAGGAGCTCGGTCGTTCCTTAAGGCTTGCATGCCTTACGTATCGTTCCTTATGTTTTCTTTGTATTATGCATCGTTCCTTATGCTTTTTCCCTTGGAAAACAGGGGCTTCGTTCCTTATTTATCGTTCCTTAGGTCAGGCCGATGACTGCAGTCGAGAAGTCGGCCTCCCACCCTCCGCAAAAGACGTGCGGACGCTGGCGGGAGCAGCACGTGGGCGGCTTTGCCGGCGGACGCCGGTTGAAAAGCCCAGCGGAAGGCGGCGATTGTGCATCGGGGGGGCCCCCCTCGCCGCCCAGCGAGCCACCTCAACCCAACCGGAAGGCTCCGATTTGCCCTTCATTTTCAGAGTGGGGGGGTCGGGGAACGCGGAAAAGCACATGTGGAGCCCGACCCCCCCGCCCCCCCCCACTCCGAAAGTCGGGTCTTCGAGTTGGGTTGGGGTGTTCTGGTAGGTCGTCCACTCGAGAGAGGTCAGCGCCAGCCAGCGTTCGTAGCCGATTTTGCCCAAGACCTGCGGGTGTTTCAGCTGTCGGGGTTCGAGTTCCTGGCGGCGGCGAGTCCGGCGGGGAAACGAGAGGGGGCAGGCCTTGTCAGAAGGCTCGGAATTGACTACACGTAAGAGAGACCTTTCGGCGGAGTGACCGTTGGTGCGGGCTCTTTGGGGTACCCCGATCGCCGAATGTGATGCGATACATAGTTGTTTCTCGCGTGCTTGGATTTAGCCCCCTCGCGGCTCCCCGAAAGCCACGCACCAAAGGGCCTAGGGCCACTTTTGCGTGTCGCCGACGGAAGTCCCCCAGCCTTTTGAGAAGTTTGCTGCGGCTTTCGGGGCGCAGTGGCGGGCAAAGTTTGTATTCGTTTCCCGGGGGCTGCATTCTGGAGTCGACGGGCGGGACATCGGCGGCACGAACCACGTGCATGACCCGAGTTTCGCTGAGCGCCCAAGGGCGCCCCGATTCTGTACCCAGAACCACCCGGGTGACTGGCCACCGATGTACAGTGGGGGCCCATGCCAAGAAAACCCTTCTTGCCTCCAGGGTGCCTTGGGTTTCCGTGGTGTCGATGGTTTTGCCATGGAGAGCGCGATGTTCCCATGCCAAAATCAATGGACGCCCTGGGGTCTCAGTGTTGGGTTTCCCGTGGAAGGTTTCTTCCGGTCGGGCCCCCACTGTAGGGCGCGCGACCTGCGCGTGACGGCGGCCACCCGGATGCGTGCCTTGGGCGAGTTGCAAGGGGGAACCAGACGGCGCCAGCCTGGTTGGGACCCAGGAGGAGGGGCGTGTGAGGCGATCAGCGCGTCGGCAGCTGGCGCCGTGGAAGCAGTCCTCCGCGGGGAGGGGTTCACAGCTGGCCTCGACACCCCGCTGGGGGCGCCGCCCCGTGGGGCCGGCGAGGACCTGCCCCAAACTCCTGCTCCTCCTCCTCCTCCTCCTCCTCCTCCTCCTCCTCGTCATTGTCGTCGTCCTCCTCCTCCTCCTCCTCCTCCTCCGCCTCCGCCTCCTCCTCCTCCTCCTCCGCCTCCTCCTCCGCCTCCTCCTCCTCCTCCTCGTTCTCGGCCTCCTCCGCCTCCTCCTCCTCCGCTGAGTGCCCCTCCTCGTCCCTGTGGGGGGGCCCTGCCCCTATCCACAGGGAGCGTGTGTGTGTGCGCGACGTGCTGCCGCAGGCCCGCGGCGCCGAGGCCCGCGCCTGCCGTGCGGGAGAGAGGCGGGGCCGCCGAGGGGACCCGTTCCACTTCCCACCACTCCAAGACTGCGCAAGAGGCCCCCGAGACCGCCCCAAGAGGCCTCCAAGAGGACCCAAAAACAACCCGAGATCGGGCCGGACGAAAGGGGGGGATTGGGAAAAGGGGGGGGTTACGAAATCTGCTGCAGGCAGCTGGTTTCGGCCCCACCGAGGGGCCCATTCCCCGATGCATGGCCGCCTCCCGGCGCCGGCAGGCGCCAGGGAAATCAGCGACGTGAGCTGATTCTCAAACACCCCCCCTTTGCTATCCCCCCCTTTCGCCCGACCCGAGAATCGCGCGCTGAAGCAGGCGGTGCGCGTTTTCCTGGACGATGGGCGCGCGCCGAACAGCGGGGGGCAGCGAGGGCAAAAGAGCGCGGCAGCCCGTCTCCGCCCACTGTTCGCGCAGGTCGCGCGCACCCGCGAGGGCGGCGCCTTGCTCGGGGCGAGCCTTGTCCGATTGCCGACCTTTCGAGCCGAGGGGGTCCGATTTCAAGGCGATGGGCGCGCGGACGCTTGGAGCGAGGAGCCGTTCGAGTTTCGTTGCAAGGTTGCCGGTGTCAGGATATGTTCCACTTTTCCAGCCGTTCTACCTTTCCCGCTGTGCCATGAGGTTGGTATGATATTCCATGTGCGCGACTTGCAGACGATCGTGTACGAGCTTCCTCGGGAGATGGGTGGCGATGGGCCAGCGTTCACCTTCCGCTCGAAGAAGGTTGACTTGAGCGCCTCCGTGGAGAAGCATTTCTGGTTGCTTTTGGGCGTGGCGCCCGAAGTGGATCTTGAAGACTAGCGGGCGCGCGCGCGTTCAGGCGGAGTGCACGCAGCCCATTCGGCTGCTCCAGAAGGCGCGCGAACTTTGCGGCGAACGCCAGGACACTGCGCGAGCCGCGAAGCACAGAAACAGAAGGCAGGCACGAGGCAGCCAGGGCGGCCGTCTTCGAGGACGAGGGGGAGGCCGCCCTCGTGGAGGCCGACGCCGCGGGCGCCGACGGGAGCCCGGCCAGCGCGGAGCCGGCGGACCCCGACGCAAAAATGCGCCCAGCTGCGACTGCGGCGCCAGCCGCCGCGGCGGCGCCCGCGCACGACGCGCCCCGGGGGCGGCGCCCTCGCCCCCTGCCCCGGGCCGAGGGGCGTCCGAGAAGCTTCGATTCGGGAGATGTCACTGCTCAGAAGCAGTTTCACGCGCGCTGCCCGTGCGCGAACTCCCCTGCGACGAAGGGCCGCACCGCGCCCGCGACGGGCGAGCGCGGGCGGAAGCGGATCGCGGCGAAGAGCCCGCGGGTGTGCCTCACGCAGTGGCCGAGGCAGGCGGTCCAGTTCGAGTCGCGAGCGGCCCAGTTGAAGGGCAGACGGCCCATCGCGCCGAAGCGCGGCGAGTCCTGCGCAGGGGCTGACAAAAGCAGCGGCCTGGATTGCAGGGCCCCTCAGGATCGAGGCTCTATGGAGCGGCGTGACCGGGGTCGTGGATCACAAACTTGTTGCGTGAGCATTTGGCGCCTTATCCCGCCCCTCAGCCCAGCGATTTTGCAACTTAGCCAGATCCTCGACCTGCCCTGGCGGCGGGGGCTCCGCGCCGCGCCGCGGGACAGGGCGCCCCGCGCAGCGCCAAGTTCCAGCGGCGAGCAGTTGCAAACAGCGCGCCCACTTTCTCCTCGACGTCCCCTTCCCGGGGTGGCAAGCGCCGCGGGCCCCGTCCCCCTCCCGGGCCCCTCCTGTTGAGACGCGAGACGCTCCGCGGCCCCTTCCTTCTGCACCCCCTCCTGGGCCGAGACGCTTCGAGGCCCCTCCTGGGCCGCTCCTGGGCCCGGGGGAAGCAACGGGCCCCGCGGAGGGGGGG